TATTTTATTTTATATCCATTTTACATGTACCATGATAATTATTTATTATTGGACTTTTTCTTTTACTTTTTTGGACATCTTGTTTTTTATTATGGTAATACTGTGGACTTTATTGCTAATTCATCATGCTAATAACATGTTTGTTTGTTTTTAACTCAAATTCATGACTGATGGTATTTACATGGTACTCCCAAGAATATACCACAGTAGTGTGAGACATTTACCATATTAAAACCATGATGTTTTGGACTTTTACATGTTTTATATGTAGTCATTGAATATAATGTCATTGTCATACTGAAAATATGACATGTAAATTGCATGGTACATGAACATGGTAATTATTCAGTACAATGGTACCTCCACAATACTCTACTGTTAGTGTCTGACTGTTTGCTTTCTTTCCACAGAGTGATGGGAAAATGCAGATGTCAAGATTTCTTCTTCTCTTTCAGTGTCTCTGTTAGGATGTGTCATCATAAGCTGGTAACCATGGGGACGGATATCAGTTCTCGTGCATGCAGTGACCCGTGTGGCATCCTTCAGTGTGAAAGTGATGTATGGTGTGCAGCGCTGTCATAACCGTCACATACATCCATCTGTCTGAGAATATACTCAACATCATTCTGATGGGCACTACGATTCAGAACGCTGCATTGCCATCTGCAGAATAAATGCAGAAGAGGAGTTTAACTAACCCTCCTAATCTCTGAAAGCCTGTGTGAAATGATGTTCTCAACTTCAGTAATCGCATGTACTCGTGAGTGATATTCAACAAGAAGAGTGGGAATTAATGAGATTGTAAAAAAAAATTAGATTGAATAATTACTGGAACATTTACTAGGAATAACGTGTATTGTGAACAATGAAATAAGATGCCAAAATCTTTATACCAAGTCACTTGACCTAAACATTCAAGTATTCAAATCAATATTTATTAATTTTTATAATAATAAAAATGAAATTACAATTATGATATGATTCATTTTAATATTTATTCATATTATCAATATTTTTTTCTCGGAAATTAACTTACTTTTAACATACACTACTACCTTACTTTTTCTTTTCCAAAAGAAATGAATGCTTTTATTCGGCAAGGAAACATTAAATTGATCAAAAGAAACAAGGCATTTATAATGTTACAAAAGATTTATATTTTAAATAAATGCTGTTCTTTTGAACTTTTTATTATATCATGGTTTTGACAAAAATATGAAACAAGACAACATTGATAATAATCAGAAATGTCAGCAAATCAGCATATTAGCATGATTTCTGAAGGATCATGTGACACTGAAGACTGGAGTAATGATGCTGAAAATTCAACTTTGCATCACAGGAATAAATTACATTTTAATATATATTTAAATAGAGTTCCCTGATTTTAAATTGTAATAATATTTCACATTATTAATGTTTTTACTGTAATTTGTAATCAAATAAATGCAGCCTTGGTGAGCATAAGGGCAAAATTTATGAGGCAAATTTTGAAGAATTGTAGCTGATGCTTTATCCATGCTTACTAATGACACATTTATTATTATTATTATTAAGCTTGGTCCTGGTCCAAACTGCCCATTATCTTGTTGACAAATCAAGCTATCTTTTTATGTGCCATTTAGAGGTTTGTCTAAAATAGATGACGCCACAGAAATACTCTAGCACAGAAAACTCACAGACAGCATGTATAGATTCTGTTATCCGAATTTCTGCCTGTCCATTAAAAAATAAGTAAGTGATTCTCCTTGCAGAATTTGACCTACAACCTTTAAGTTACCAGCCCTGTTCTTGAAAGACTAGCCAGCCCACCCACCGTCAGCGGCCTGCAGTTCATTGAGCAGCTCTTCATCACTCAATACTTGGCCTGAAAACAAACACTCCAGCCTGACAGACCCTTCTGGGCGCATGTATAAGTCACCACATACAGCACAAAATGAACAATGAAGCTTAGAAAATATTGCTAGAAGGCCCTCGTCCATGGGCCGCAATAGCTGGCCAGTCACACAGCAGAAAGTTTACTTAATAGTGCAGCTTAAATCCATGATTTGAAAAATACAAAACTGTTCGTATTTACAGTGTCTCGACAGAGCGATGAATGGACGGCTGTGATGCGAGGAGAAAGAGCCGATTCAGCAGAGAGGAAGACCTCCGTCAGAGAAACGCCGCTCTGTACAGTAAGCACACAGACCTGCTTCTCCTCCGGCCTTGGGATGTTGCCAGGGGGCTGGTGTTCAGGAAAAATGGAGGGAGATTGGAATATTGAATGGGGTGCTTGTTTTAGATGTGAAGTTGAAGGGAAATCTAACTTGCTAACATCTCAGTTGGCCAGTATATGCAGCATCAGATGGAGGTTCTAAGATTTGAGTGTAGATATCAAGTCCAAAAAATGGCAATTCTGTCATTATTTACTCACCCTCGTGTCATTTCAAGCATGTATGCTTATATTTTAGGGTGGAACACAAAAGGCACATTTTTTTAAAGAATTTTTCAATTCTTTTCCAGGGTCACATATTGACAGTTTATAGTGTTTAAAAAGAACAAAGTTACTACAGTCTTGTACTCCAGGAGTAAAAATCCCATTTTCATTTTCTCCATAGGGAACTGATTTTTAACAGTAATGTACAAACCATTAAAGACTGACCTACTGTGAGCTATGAGGTTGTTAATCGATGGTATATGCTTCTGTTGAAGCCATTAACTCAAAATCATGTTTAACAGCAGAATTACTGGTGAAAAACTACATTTCCCGTGATTATGCGAAAAATCGGCACCATGGGGGAAAAAAGCAGCAAGCAAATCACACTAAAACAAGCACAGTGAATTTGTTTAATTGAGTCTGTTTCCCTACACTTTTAAAATACTTCCCTATGGGAAAAATGAAGAAAAAATGCTTGATTATCAGAGGACATCAGCCTATTTTGGGAGAACATTCGCTGAAAACTGAAGCAATCAAAAAGTCATTATGAAATGTACTCATGTTGTGAGCTTTAGAGACACTCAGCATACCTTAAAAAAATCAACCCTGCAAATATTAAATTATACAGGGAAAATGTTTTTATTTAAATCTTACTCACCCACTAAAACTCTCAAACCACATTTGCATGGCATATTTAAATGTATGCAAATGCAGATTGAGATTTAAAGTTTGTTTTTTGGGGGGTTTTTTGGTTGCACTATTGAATTATTTTAATTTCATTTTCTTTTTTCACCTGTTTTCAGTAAATATTGGTTTAGATTTCATGAATACAGTGCACAGGGCTGCTTTTATGGTACTTTGGTTGCACTATTGAATTATTTTAATTTCATTTTCTTTTTTCACCTGTTTTCAGTAAATATTGGCTTAGATTTCATGAATACAGTGCACAGGGCTGCTTTTATGGTACTTTTATAGTGATTTCTCCTTTGCTGCATGCAAGAGCACCATGAACTCAGCAAAGTACTTGCTGTTATTTTCAATGGATGAAAAAAATTCCAGACTTGGACAGTCATCAGGGAGAGTAAACAATGGCAGGATTGTTAGCTGTGGGTGAACTATATCCCTTTAAATGCAACATTTTTAGCTGGGACAAAAACAGTTTTTCAGAGCGCTCTGAGACACATAAAAAGACTGTTACAACATAATTGGATGAGGAGAAAAGACAAAAAAAAAAGCTCAGGGTGAGAGGTCATCTCACCTGTGCAAAACATCAGTAGATTCTGAGAAACCACTCATAAGACCATCAGAAATATTGATTCTTGTTTTATGTCATATCATGACCCATTATAATCCGATTCTTCATGTGGAGGGAAGTTTCACCGGCGGTCTGGGAATAATTGGTCCCTGGAGAGATCACATCAGCCCCATCTCTCTCTCTCTCTCTCTCTCTCTCTCTCTCTCTCTCTCTCTCTCTCTCAT